GATTATTTAGAGTGTAAAGGTGACACTAGGAGTCTTTTGGACCCCCAGCATCACCTTTAAAGAGTACCTGTCACCACCATCTGCTATCACATGGGGGGCTTGTAAGCCCCCCTATGTGATAGCAAGTAAAGTAAAGTAAAAAAAAGTTTTTAAAATTAAATAAAATTAATGTAAAAATAAGTAAAAACATTTTTTAAAGTCCCCCTCCCCCTGCCAGCACACGCGTCTTCACGTAAACACGCATCGGGTGCGCCTACTTTGGGCTTTGATAAGGAGTTGCGCTAACATCATGCAACATAAAAATTTGCAACTGATGACATTTTATTTTATAGGGTCTCGGCTTTCAGGAAATATATCATGTTTGGGGGGGGTTTAAGTAATTTTCAGGCCTAAAATGTGGAATATAACATGGGTGCAAAAAATGGAAAAAAAAGGTCTGAGTCATGAAGGGGTTAAAGCCGGTTAATGAGAATCACTTTAGGAGTCCTCCGGCAGGATCAGAGTATAGAAGGTTCCTGGAAGTCTAATCCACCTTCTCACTATGTGTACCCGTGTGGGGATTTGATGCAGGATGTGTAGTCATCTGTTCAGTATACAGAGCTCCCACACCTTCCAGCCCTCGGTGGGGAATGTAGAACACAAGTATCTGCAGATTCCTGGGTCAGCGTAGAATCAACAATAAACGAGATAAAACATAATGAATGGTCCGGATTACCGCTGACTTTCTATAACTGCATCACATATTTCTTTAATGAGGTCATGCTCCAACAGCCTGGAAATGGTTTCCAGGTTTGTAGGAAAGAATTAATAGCCCCCCAAAAAGTGAGAAATATGTATGAATGCCGGCTGGTGTCATCGTCTGGATACAGAGACCTCTCCTATTACTCATCCCTAAGTCTAAGTGATGTATACATGAGGAAGCCTTGAGGTACCATCCAGAAATGCACCAGCCCCATGAAAAACTTTATAGTGAAAGATGATATTTTTGTAAAGCCCAATTAACCCCTTTCGATGCCAGGGACTTAGTACTTACTAGCTGTATACACGCTCCGGGGGTTGCTTTAGCAGCCCAAAGTGTGTTTACTTTGCCTTGGATTTCAGGTAGAAGTGATCTACACCCACCTCCCCTGCAGGTGTGGCCACTTGCCCGACTCTCGCTACCATGTATCTCGGGCTCCACTGCCCCTCCTGCGGGCCTGGGATAGCCATGGTGGGTGTTGGCGGGGAGAACAGAGGGGCTTGGTCAACATCCATTGAAAGAACCTGGAAGCAGCGAGGATTTTGTCACTTTGGATTGCCACCCCATCACCTCTATACCTCCCCACCCCCCTGCAGGTGCCACCACTTACCCAATTCTTGCTGCCATAGATCCCAGGCTCCACTGCCCCTCCCGTGGGCCGGAACTGGCCATGGTGGATGTTGGCAAGGAGAACATACTTTCTGCCTTGAAGAAGGGACCCTGTGCGGCCCCGAAAAGTCGTGCCATGGTGGGTGTTGGCGGGGAGAACAGAGGGGCTTGGTCAACATCCATTGAAAGAACCTGGAAGCAGCGAGGATTTTGTCACTTTGGATTGCCACCCCATCACCTCTATACCTCCCCACCCCCCTGCAGGTGCCACCACTTACCCAATTCTTGCTGCCATAGATGCCAGGCTCCACTGCCCCTCCCGTGGACCGGAACTGGCCATGGTGGATGTTGGCAAGGAGAACATACTTTCTGCCTTGAAGAAGGGACCCTGTGCGGCCCCGAAAAGTCGGCTTCTTTATGACGCTTTTTGTCCAATAAAGGGACATTTCTGCTTTCAAGTATCGAGTGCTGGTGACTTTTTGTTTTTTACTCTGTGTTTCCACGGTGCCATCCGTGAATCGAGTCACTTCGAGCACCATCATCCTTTAATTGGCCGGGACTGCTGCGGGGTGTGCGGAGGGCTCTCTCCTATTTTTACATCGGCAAGGAGAACATAGCGGTCAACATCCATTGAATAGAACCCGGAAGCATTGAGGAAGTTGTCACTTCCAGTTTCTGAGCTGCCATTCCCCAGCCCCTGTGGTTTGCTATGTTAACTTATTATGTATTCAAGTTGCATAACAAGTAAGAATATGGCAAGTTTTTTTTTATATTCTGTTTGTGCACACTAGGGAGCGAGACCGCTGCTCACACACAGAGCGCAGCAGTCCGCTACTCCCCTCTGTACAGTATACCGATCAACAATGCTCATGGTACCTGAGCAGGATTGTTGGATGGGGTACTATGGAGGGGGTGTTTGTCTGAATGACGGAGACCTGGACCACTGTGCTCTGTGTGAGAGCAGCAGTCTGACTCTCCAGTGTGCTTCAGTGCGTAACAAGTAAGAAAAAAAAGATGAGCGTTCAATCGGGCTTTATAGCATAAACAATATGCTAAAAATCTGCGGAAGGACTTCGACTCGGCCGATCCGACATCTGGATCGGCAGCTCACTTGCTGCTGTTCGCCCCTATTCCCATAGGGGCCGAACGGCAGTGAGTGAATAGCCGAATGCCCCCAAGCGGCACTCTACTCGGCTATTCTGCTCAATGAAAAGAGGTTTTTTTTTAAAAAGGTTGAAAAAATATTTTTTAAATGTGAATAAATAGTAAAATTAAAAAAGAAAGATTTAAAAAAAGAAAAACAATTGGGCGGAGCTAGCGGTGACAGCTAGCTGCGCCCAACTGTTTTCTATTGATCGGCACCTGCTAGAGTCTTCTAGTAGGTACCGGCCGATGAATAACTGGGCGGAGTCGGCACGGCTGGCTCCACTCAGTTGTTATTGTTTAATGACAGATCAGCGTCCCCCAGGTCATTTGAGGACGCTGATCTGTCATTCAAACTGGGCAGAGCCAGCCATGAGATCACGGCTGGCTCCACCCAGCTGTCATGTGCGGGGCTTACGGCAGGCCGTTCGCCCCACTTTCGCTGTCACTTCGGGTTAGTCGAGCCGAAAGCATATGCCTTCGACTCGGCTGCCTTTGGCTGCTGTACCGGTTGGATATAGTGAATAGCCGGTACAGCAGCCCTTCGGGTCGACCGAACCGAAGGGCTCCGACGGCCGAAGAGACCCGAAGGACTAGCCGAAGCTACGGCTGGATCCTTCGGCTCCTTTGTGACTAACCCCCATAGTTTTCAGACTTGTATTTAGGGAGGGGCTTTGTTACTCTTTAGATACACAGCGAGCTCAGTGGAATTCTTCTTTCATAACATTTTCAATCTAAACATACGTGACTCACGGAAGTGAGCAAGCATTGCACAGACAAGTCTGCCTGACTGGACTACCCACTCACATATAATATAAATTGTTTGACTCATAGGGCATCCATACCTATTCGAGCACTCGCTTAGATTAAGAGCGCCGATACACGTTTTTAAATTGAACAATGGAAGGCAACGTAAAAGCACCCGCTTCAAGATGTGAACATGCCCAAACCTTACCTAATATCTCCAAATACCACGATGTACAATACAACCGTCTTGAAGACAGAGGGATTTACATGACACGCTTCCTAACAAATCCTCAAAACAAAAATTATATCCTTCATTATTGGATTATTGGATCCTTCATTATTGGATTATTGGATCCTTCATTATTGGAACCCTTCCAAAAACTCCTTCTTGCAGCTTGCCCAACTGGCAGCAGCACAGATTAAGCCTAATATTACAGAGGCTCACCATTGCAGTGAATGGAAATAATGTATTTTATGGAGTAGAGCTTGGGGAGGAATGAGAACATATCTATCTGGTTATACTTCCAAATACCTTGCTCCACTAATAGGTTATAGTGCTTTTTTTGGACCCAGTGATGTCACCGCAGGATCTTCTAGAGCTCCTTAGTTGCTGCCATCAGTGGGGAGAGGTCGGTAGAGAGAGCCCCAAGTGTCTTTCAGGGTATGTACGTATGCTAGAATTTAATGTCTCGCCAAGCAACTCTTCAGTCCTTCCTGTCCCCTGGGGACATAATGCATGTGGTACTTTGTCCCGTTTTGACAGTTAGTGTGGATGCTAAGCTAACATGGTCGACAGTAAGCCCCCTCCTGCTGTTCAACCACACTGTTCAGTAGGAGACAAATAGCTAGTTTTGATTGACAGTGCTGGTCTACAGCACCAGGCGCATACCTAAGACAAGTGCTGTGACTACGCATGTAGCGGGAATGGACGTGCCAGTGAGACTGCTGGAAATAAATACACCGACTTGTTACTGGACAGGCTGCATTACACTGGAGGCAGCAGTAGGCAGGCTGCTGGGGTAAGGACTGGACGACACTGTAGGTAATCCATTCCAAAATGCCTTGGAAGGTTCTCATTCATGCAGGTCATGGTATAGCTTGTAGTAGGTCAAATTCAAGTAGACTCGATGTTTTGCAGCTTATCCAATCCACTTGGGAGCTCCCACATGCCATTCGGGTCTCCCAGACCGAATGGCATTCGGGAGCTCCCGATTGAAATCCGAGTCTGGGAGCCATATACATATATTACTAAGGCCTGGTTCACACCTGGGAGTTTTGTAGCGCGTTCGAACGCTCTGCAAAACGCTCAAACACCCAAATCCCATTATTTCCTATGGGTATGGTTCACACATGTATTCACACGTATTACAGGCCGTATGAACGCGCTACAAAACGCGCGTCACGAAACGCGTGACAAACGCGCATATTCGGTACGCCTAGGTGTGAACGCAGCCTAAGGCTGAGGCTCCCAGACCCGAATGGCATTCGGGAGCTCCCAAATGCCATCCGGAAACTCGGATCCCGAATGCCATTCGGGTCTGGGAGCCTCAGCTTTAGTATGATATGTATAGACTGTATATGGCTCCCATGTTGCCGTAACGAAAATTCGTGTTCAGACCCATTCGGAGGCATTAAACCAAAAAACACGTCTGATTGGCCAGAAAAGTCACATGTCCCACTAGGTTCATTTTTGAACGAAATTCGGACGAAACGGAAATTCGGAAGCATTGGGATTTGGAAATTCGGATGTGTCGAAAGAAATCGCACATGTCTACCGAACAGGATGTTTCAAAAGCGGACTGCGTGGTCGTAGAACAGGAGCACACACATCTGCAATGCTTTATGGAACATAGAGGCAACCCTGCATGCAGCATTAAGTGTAAGGAATGGGCGATGCTACCCTTGGGTTACATAATCTGACAAGTTCAACACAAAAAGTTCAGGACCATGCGCCATAACATGTAATGAAGTCATACAGACCATACGAAATGTTAATGCCAGGGGTACTGGACTGGTTTGGAGCTCCTTACCTTTGGTTCCCATTGGCGTAGGACAATCATCGGGCACAGGGGGTAGAACTCTTGTGAAGTAGCTTACATTAGCATATGCTTCCCAGCTAATGTAACCATATGCCGAGTTATAGGTTGGGGGGCTGGGTATCAGATTGGATCGCACTGTAAAAGATTTAAAGAAAACTTCAGTCCAGATAAGAATTCTTAAGAAAAATCAAGTTTAAAGAACTTTTAAGTGAAACGTCAACTCTAACAAAAGGGGTATTTCAACTCTGGGCAGATGCAAGTGGCACCCCATTCCCCATGCTGCTGTCAGGGTGCATCAGTCAGCAACCATAGTGCAGCTTCTGCCCGGACCGCTGCACGCAATGCGCATGCGTACGCGCGAAAAAAACGTCCACACGCATTTCCTTGGCGCCAGGCGGGCTATTTAAAGATGGCTCCTGCATCTGCACTTTGCTGAGAGATCTTCAGCTGTACTCTGCATCTGTGTTCCTGCTCCTGATATTTGTTTGACCCGGGCTTGATTCCTGACTCTGGCTGCTTGCTGACCTCGGCTCATTCCTGACCATTCTTCTGCCTCCTGATTCTGTACCATTCTGCTCGCAAGTGTATGTAGGGTTGCCACCTTTTCTTCAAGAGAAACCCGAACACTCTGGTGACGTGCGGACATTTTTGAGGGAGAATGAGTCGTGGCTTATTCATATGTAAATATCACAGTTGAGACTATTTCCCGCGGGGGGGCCAGTAGCCCCTATCTTCATTTTGGTTGCCCCTGTCTGTATGACACATTGTGTCCAGGTTTCTGCTGCCATGAAACCCGAACACAGCATTCAAAACCCGGACTGTCCGGGTGAAACCTGGACAGGTGGCAACCCTTAGTGTATGACCCGGCCTGTTCCTGACTCTGCTTCTGTCTCCTGCCTATGTACCACGCTGACCGCACGTTACCGATCCGGCTTGTCCCTGACTACGCCTCAGCCTCTCGCACAAGTGTCGTCTGATCTGCCATCGACCACCAGCTGTCTCTGGCGTCCTGTCGGCCGCCTGACTTGGCTTGCGGTAGCGCCGGGCCTGTCTCCAGTGGGGCTCAGACGAGAGCAGCCAGGGAAGGCCTGAAGAACTGAACTCAAAAATTTAGAGGGGTGTCCAAATTTTTTGGGCCATATAGTGTTGGTGTGATGGTTAGTTGTCATCACTGGGATGCATGTAGACAGGACGTGCCTGCAAAGAGGCTGCAGGGTTTGGAGATCCTTAATTTTGCTTCTTTGTGTTCACTAAAGAAACACAAATCTGTAATGTAGGAGAATGAATGGCTTGTAGTAGAGAAAATCAAACCCCAGAACATAAAATGCAACACTTTGCATGTTACCAGACCTCAGATGTGGTGGCCGCATGAGGCTAGATCTACATAGGGGTGGTAAAAACAGGCAGTTATTCTGCTACCGCCACTCAACTGCCTACCTACAAATGAACATGGTGGCCGCTCAGGTCTGTATACATTGCTACGGCCATGATGCTTCATAGAGATTCTCCCTGCAGTATTTTTTTTTGCCACTAGATGGCCAGCATCGTGCAACCCAATTCCTTTGATCCTGGGTCATCCCGGACGAGCCCCCCACCTGTGACTGGACAGTGAAAGGAGAAGCAGCACAGCGATGAGCTTATCTCTCAGTCATTCTGCTCTGTCCTCCTGTTAGCATGCCTCTTGATCTGATCGGCTCCTTGTGCTGCTTCTCCCTCTCACACTCCAGATGTGCTGTACATGGAATTCAAGAGGCTGATGCCAAGTCACATTCAGGTACTTACAGCATAAATCAGGTTACTTCCTCTGGGCCTTGACCCACCCTCAGCTTCTCACTGGACAGTTACAGGAGAAGCAGGACCGGGATGAGCTCATCTCTCAATCACTCTGCTCTCTCTTGGCATCACATGGGCTGATTGACTCCTTGTGCTGCTTCTCCCTCTCGCTCTCCAGCCCTGCTGTACAGGGAATGCAATGGGCCTAGACCCACCCTCAGCTTGTCACTGGACAGTTACAGGGGAAGCAGGACTGTGATGAGCTCATCCCTCAGTCACTCTGCTCTATCTTGGCATCACATTAGCTGATTGACTCCTTGTGCTGCTTCTCCCTCTCGCTCTCCAGCCCTGCTGTACAGGGACTGCAATGGACCTAGACCCACCCTCAGCTTGTCACTGGACAGTTACAGGGGAAGCAGGACTGTGATGAGCTCATCCCTCAGTCACTCTGCTCTATCTTGGCATTACATTAGCTGATTGACTCCTTGTGCTGCTTCTCCCTCTCGCTCTCCAGCCCTGCTGTACAGGGACTGCAATGGGCCTAGAACCACCCTCAGCTTGTCACTGGACAGTTACAGGAGAAGCAGGACCGGGATGAGCTCATCTCTCAGTCACTCTGCTCTATCTTGGCATCACATGGGCTGATTGGCTCCTCGTGCTGCTTCTCCCTCTTGCTCTCCAGCCCTGCTGTACAGGGAATGCAATGGGCCTAGACCCACCCTCAGCTTGTCACTGGACAGTTACAGGGGAAGCAGGACTGTGATGAGCTCATCCCTCAGTCACTCTGCTCTATCTTGGCATCACATTAGCTGATTGACTCCTTGTGCTGCTTCTCCCTCTCGCTCTCCAGCCCTGCTGTACAGGGACTGCAATGGACCTAGACCCACCCTCAGCTTTTCACTGGACAGTTACAGGAGAAGCAGGACCGGGATGAGCTCATCTCTCAGTCACTCTGCTCTATCTTGGCATCACATGGGCCGATTGGCTCTATGTGCTGCTTCTCCCTCTCGCTCTCCAGCCCTGCTGTACAGGGAATGCAATGGGCCTAGACCCCCCCTCAGCTTGTCACTGGACACTTACAGGAGAAGCAGGACCGGGATGAGCTCATCGCTCAGTCACTCTGCTCTATCTTGGCATCACATGGGCCGATTGGCTCCCTGTGCTGCTTCTCCCTCTCGCTCTCCAGCCCTGCTGTACATGGGATGCAAGAGTCTGATACCAGGTCCCATTCAGATACTGACACTGCTTGTATTTCAAAAATACATTTCATGATATTAATCGATTTTGTGTTTTTTTATATCCGTATGATGTTCAGCTTTGATGTTCAGCACAATGTTTTGTGCAGCACGAGATCTTACCTGTCAAAACGAGCCTTACGATTGTATCGCGGATAAAAGTAGCATTTATGATATCCCAAAACCACTTGAAGCGGGTCAAGATGTAGTGAGAAAACGCAGGGCTTGGGCGGATGAATTCACGAATCCTTGACCATAATTCAGCTGCAAGTCAAAGAAAAGAGTGAAATGATGGGGATTTATATCCATGATCAGAGGTACAGTTTATTTGCTATAGATCTTTTATTAAAAATAGTTACATTGATTAGAAGGTTGCAGAGCATCACTGGTTGCTAGGTTACAGGTGGCCCTGGGTTCGGTTCACATGGACATTCACTGCACCCTGTACATGGGATGCAAGAGTCTGATACCAGGTCCCATTCAGATACTGACACTGCTTGTATTTCAAAAATACATTTCATGATATTAATCGATTTTGTGTTTTTTTATATCCGTATGATGTTCAGCTTTAATGTTTTGTGCAGCACGAGATCTTACCTGTCAAAACGAGCCTTACGATTGTATCGCGGATAAAAGTAGCATTTATGATATCCCAAAACCACTTGAAGCGGGTCAAGATGTAGTGAGAAAACGCAGGGCTTGGGCGGATGAATTCACGAATCCTTGACCATAATTCAGCTGCAAGTCAAAGAAAAGAGTGAAATGATGGGGATTTATATCCATGATCAGAGGTACAGTTTATTTGCTATAGATCTTTTATTAAAAATAGTTACATTGATTAGAAGGTTGCTAGGTTACAGGTGGCCCTGGGTTCAGTTCACATGGACATTCACTGCACCTGGATTATTGGCTGGGTTTGGCGAACGCCCATGTGAACCAAGCCCAGGCACATTCGGCTTATCACTGATCACCAGTTGATGTACGGTGGTTGCCATAGGACCCGGCAAGGGGAGGGAGCCACCCTAAAACAGGATATCAGGGACAGTGCTCAGGGGACCAGATGATTCTGGAGGAAGCTAAGAACTTTGCACAGCAAGGAGCAGCAACCATTTGTAAGTGATTTCATCAGCATTTGGAATAGCTTACAAACCTCTTGACTTTAATATGACTTAAGGTTGAGCAGCTCTGCTTAAGGCCCCGTTCCCACTGCATGACTTAAGGTTGAGCAGCTCTGCTTTAGAGTGTGACCCTGTACAGGAAAATTCTTCATAATAACACATTCTTGCAGTACTGGTACCAACCAACTTTTATCTGGTACCAACCAACTATCATCTGGTACCAACCAACTATCATCTGGTACCAACAAACTACCATCTGGTACCAACAAACTTTCATCTGGTACCAACAAACTATAATTTGGTACCAACAAACTATCATCTGGTACCAACAAACTTTCATCTGGTACCAACAAACTATCATCTGGTTCCAACAATCTTCCATCTGGTACCAACAAACTTTTTCATCTGGTTTCACGATATCGCGGGAATTACCGCGCGATAAATCGCTCAATGTGAACGGGGTCTTAGAGTGTGACCCTGTACAGGAAAATTCTTCATAATAACACATTCTTGCAGTACTGGTACCAACCAACGTTTATCTGGTACCAACCAACTATCATCTGGTACCAACAAACGTTCATCTGGCACCAACAAACTACCATCTGGTACCAACAAACTTTCATCTGGTACCAATAAACTTCCATCTGGGACCAACAAACTATCATTTGGTACCAACAAACTTTAATCTGGTTCCAACAAACTTTAATCTGGTTCCAACAAACTATTATATGGTACCAATAAACTTCCATCTGGTTCCAACAAACAGTCAACAAACTACCATCTGGTACCAACAAACTTTCATCTGGTACCAATAAACTTCCATCTGGGACCAACAAACTATCATTTGGTACCAACAAACTTTAATCTGGTTCCAACAAACTTTAATCTGGTTCCAACAAACTATCATCTGGTTCCAACAAACTTCCATCTAGTTCCAACAAACTTTAATCTGGTTCCAACAAACTTAAATCTGGTTCCAACAAACTATCATCTGGTTCCAACAAACTTCCATCAAACAGTCATCTGGCATCAACATACTGTCAGGAACGGGATCTGAAACCAGGGCCTCTGCCTTAGCTGGTGGTGGTTCTACCTGCTGAGCCACCTTAGAACCTTGGATACCAACAAACCATCTGGTACCAACAAACTTTTTAATCTGGTACCAACAAACTTCCATCTGGTTCCAACAAACATTCATCTGGTTCCAACAAACTATTATATGGTACCAACAAACTTCCATCTGGTTCCAACAACCTTCATCTGGTATCAACATACTGTCAGGAACTGGATCTGAAACCAGGGCCCATGCCTTAGCCTTAGGTGGTGGTTCTACCTGCTGAGCCACCATAGAACCTTGGATAGCTCCTTCCCGGACCTCCTGTGTAATCCTCAGGTAAACCTAGTTTCTGCTGAACTCTGAACTCCTTGCTCCTCCCTTGAACTTCCTATTTAAGCCCCGCCTCTGCACTTCCTGTTTGCCAGATTATTGTGCTCCTGCCAATATCTTGCTTCCTTGATCCTCCTGTGATACAATCCGCTCAGACTGTTTACCCGTGTACCGACCTTTGGCTGCTGATTCACCGACTCCTCTCATTGTCTTCCACTTCAGACCTGATACCTTTGGCTGCTGACCTCGGCTTGATCTCTGACTACGCTTCTGCCTGTTCCTCTACTACTACCATCTGCTTGTGTACTGAACTCGGCCTGTTTGACTACGACTTTGTCTGCTGTTTCAGCTACTGGACTCCGAGCCTGATCCAGATCGTGACACATACTTTCACCTGGTACTAAACAACTATCATCTGGTAGCAACAAACTTCCATCTGGTACCAACTTTCATCTGGTGGATGACACCATAAAAACTAAATGGTCACTAAGGACTACTTCCTTGTGTCACTTCCCTACATCCATTCTTTGCATGCATTGTGTGCTGGTACATCTGGTGTTAGACATCCTGGAGTCCCTCCAGTAACAGATATGTTCTCCTTACGGATGTGGAACCCATAAGAATATTTAAGCCTTTGTTGCTGCATATTCACCATGGTCCTATGGCCTGGTGCCCCTCTTGGGTTTCTGTACCTACAACTCGGTTTGAAAAAAGTACATACCAGGGCCATAGCAGGTACAAGACAGCCATGCCCAGCTTAGAATCTTCCAACACCTTCAAAGGAAAACTGAAAGTTTATGATAAAATTAAATTCTGAACGCTGAATATTGTTGATCAGCCATCAAAATTTAATTTGTTTTTGTTTCAGTTTTCCTTGAAGGTGTCGGAAGGTCCGGTGCCTATATGCTCCGTTATCTCTGCATTCTGGAATGACAGATACATAAACAGTGGCAGGCAGATGTGTTTCTTCAATACCTACTAAACATCAAGTGTTTAAACTGACTGACAGAAGAGATTTAATGGAGGTGACTGAGAGGTCAGGTGAAGCAATTGCTGATTACTCTTTGGGGTTTTATTACACGAACATGGAAACTCAGCTCCTGAAATAAGGTATTCCAGCAATGCTCCAATCCAAGGCTGTGTATTACCCGCTGTATAGGAAAACATGAGTGTGTTGTTGGTTTTCCCGTGGGCCACACGCAGCTCTCCCTCTCTCTTTTTATGGCCTTTGGACATTCTCCAATGCAGAAGGAGAGAGAGAGAGAAACAGAGAGGGGAAAAAAGAGAGGAGACAGAGACAGAAAGAAAAAAAGAGGAGAGAGAGACAGAAAGAAAAAAAAGAGGAGAGAGAGACAGAAAGAAAAAAGAGAGGAGAGAGAGACAGAAATAAATAAAAGAGGAGAGAGAGACAGAAGGAAAAAAGAGGAGAGAGAGAGACAGAGAGAGAGAGACAGAAAGAAAAAAAAGAGGAAAGAGAGACAGAGAGAAAAAAGAGAGGAAAGAGAGGCAGAAAGAAAAAAGAGAGGAGAGAGAGACAGAAAGAAATAAAAGAGGAGAGAGAGACAGAAGGAAAAAAGAGAGGAGAGAGAGAGACAGAAAGAAATAAAAGAGGAGAGAGAGGCAGAAGGAAAAAAGAGAGGAGACAGAGACAGAAAGAAAAAAAAGAGGAAAGAGAGACAGAGAGAAAAAAGAGAGGAGACAGAGACAGAAAGAAAAAAAGAGGAAAGAGAGACAGAGAGAAAAAAGAGAGGAAAGAGAGGCAGAAAGAAAAAAGAGAGGAGAGAGAGACAGAAAGAAAAAAAGAGGAAAGAGAGACAGAGAGAAAAAAGAGAGGAAAGAGAGGCAGAAAGAAAAAAGAGAGGAGAGACAGAAAGAAAAAAGAGAGGAGAGAGAGAGATAGAAAGAAAAAAGAGAGGAGAGAGAGACAGAAGGAAAAAAGAGAGGAGAGAGATACAGAAAGAAAAATTAGAGGAGAGAGAGACAGAGAGAGAAAATGAGGAGAGAGAGAGACAGAAGGAAAAAAAAGAGGAGAGAGAGAAAAAGAGGAGAGAGAGAGTTGAAGGGGTGAGGGAGAGAAGAGAGAGATAGTGAAGGGGAGAGGGAAGAGAGAGAGAAAGAAGGGAGAGGGAAGAGAGAGACTGTTCTTTTCCCTTGGCTACATTCAGCCGTCTCAGTTTTTATGGCTCTTGGACATTTTGTCTCGGTGTATTTTCTCATGCGCACGGGATGTAACTGTTCTCATTATGATTATTTTTACTCACTAAGTTTTCCTGATATTATATTTTTTTATGACGGTTTATAGATAAAAAAAAGTTCACAATAGTTAGCAGAAAATCTGACGGGGGTCCAAACATGAAAGTGTTCTATTGTCTAAGCCGTGTCCTGTGTGTTCTGAATAGAGCGCCCCCGTTCTCTGACCCTGCATGGCACGGCACTTTTCTAGCTGTCCTTTCCAAAGCTGCCGAGTGTCTGAGAGAGCGGGCATTCCATGACAGGAAACGGCTGTTTGGTACGATAAAGACGCCTGCGTCATAGCTTACGGATGGTGCAGTTTCTCCCGTAGTACCCGGTGCGAGTGCAGTCACATTCGTATTTGTCCAGGTCGAATCTCACGCACACACCTTTGTGCTGGCATGGGAAGTAGCAGCATGGGTTCACTGAAACGAGAAAAGAACCTGATGAGTGTTGGACTTTATAATATATAACAGTCTTTTTTTTTAAGTTTAACTCCGGTCACAAAAACTTTCATTTAAATATATTCCTCAATAACCACAAAGGATATAAATCCACTTTATGTGCATCAAATGCCTTTAAATACAGCGGTGACATCATCACTGTGCTGTACATAGCCTGTGCAGAGCTGTGGGAGGGACCCAGCAGACCCCCACCCACTACAGGAAACTGCAGGAAATGGCGGAGACAAGAATTGACAGGTTCAATAAAGAGAACCTGTCACCTCCAAATGCTATCCCACAGGGGCTTATTAGCTCCTGTGTGATAGCAATAAAGTTAGGTAAAAAAAATGATAACAAATAATTAAATAAATAAATTGGAAAAAAAAAGAAAAGTAAAAGACAATAATAAATAATAATTCAATTTAAAAAAGTGATTAAAAAGTAAAAAATTATAAGGAAAAAAATCATATAAAGAGGGAAAAATAATAAGCTAAAAAAAATCATTAAAAAAAGGAAAAGATAAGATAAATAAAACATTTAAAAAGTAAAAAAGATAAATAAAAATTTCAAAAGTGATAACATAGGGAAAAATCATATAAAAAGGAAAAAGTAATAAGCTAAAAAAATCATGAAAAAAGTAAAAGATAACAATAAATAATAATTACATTTAAAAAAAGTGATTTAAAAAGTAAAAAATTATAAGGAAAAAAATCATATAAAGAGGGAAAAATAATAAGCTAAAAAAAATCATTAAAAAAAGGAAAAGATAAGATAAATAAAACATTTAAAAAGTAAAAAAGATAAATAAAAATTTCAAAAGTGATAACAAAGTAAAAAAATAATATAAAGAAACGATAAAAAAATAAAATAACACTAACCCTGCTGCCCCCTCCATCCGGTTGCCATTCTCCATGTGGTGGGGGATTGGCGGGGAGGGGCGCATTGAGGAACATGACCCAGCAGGGAAAGG